AAAAGCCTTAGGTTATTAAGCATATTAAATGTCATGTTCTGTCTTTGAAGTATTTGAAGACCATCTATATATCTAAATATATCTGTGTATAACCTTGGAAACACACCTAATATAACTAAGTGTGACTATTATAGATGACTATTCATTTGTATTTAATTATATATTGTATTTTTAAATGAGTTGGATAAACACAATACCCTAAACAAGAGTAGAAATACCCAGACAGTATAACAAAATTAACTGTAAATTTGTATCACTATACTAAAATACATACCAATGTGAAATATTTAGGACTAGTGGTTGGTTTTTTTTTTTTGGTTTAAAAGTAGATTCAATAATCTACTGTTTTATCTTGTCATTTCTATATCCCTCCTTTTTTTCCAAATGAAATCCTTGAGATATAATCTCCTTTGTTTAGTTTTTTTGAACATTATCAATAACAACTTATAACCAGTCCCTCTTAAGTAATAACAAACATTTATAGCCAATATTTTGGAAATGTGGGCATTGTTCTTTAGATAACTTCCTGTTGTTCATGGGTACTAGTATCGTTTGGGGAACATTTAGAAAATCAGATTGTTAGGTCTTGGCTGGAGTATTCTGTGAGCCTGGATCATCTCAGTCAGTGCTTTGCAGCTGTTCTGGATACTGGATTATAGGCAGCGCCTGCTTGTTCATTTCCTGGTCACCCTGGTCCAGAATAATCACACAGAAACTGTATTAATCTCAGCACTGCTTAGCCTTTTAGCTTAGGCTTCATAATAACTAACTCTTACACTTTAAATTAATCCACTTCTATTATTTTATATTTTACCACGAGGCTTGTGTTTTACCTGTAAGGTTTCTTGATGTCAGTCTCCTTTGGAGGTTACGTGGCGTCTCCCTGACTCCACCTTCTTTCATCCTCTGTCTGCTTGGAATTCCCACTTTACCCTATTCTGCCCTAATGTAGGCCTAAGTAGCTTTATTCTTTAGCCAATAAAAGCAACACATATACAGAAGGACTTCCCACACCATTTCTCCTTCTCTGTACAAATATAAAGGAAGGCTTTAACTTTAACATAGCAAGATTACATACAACAATACAGTTATCGTTCATTTATATTTGGCAAATTAAGGAAAATACTTTATCATTTATTCTGTCTTTGTGAGTCTAAAGTTTTATGTCTAATCTATATTTCATCATAACTAAGGAAATGAGTAACAATAACTATCTGTTCTTTAACTTCATCAAAGATCCCAGAAAGATATACTATTACCTAAATTAACAGAAAGTGCAATTGTAAGCAACTTCCTAAAACTCTAGAATTGGCAGACATTTTGCTTCCTGGACAGTCACCGAAAGTTCCAGTGCAGCACTGGAGTATCCAATCTTCAGCCTATAGGCCCACAGTATCCAGTAGACTTTTCCTTGAAACAGGAAATTTGAAGATCTGTTCTGCCCTATACAGGCAAAGTCCATCAGTTGCTTTCTTCTGTGTCCTGCAGAATGTCTAGCAGACTCTTTTCATGAAGCAAGAACCCTGAAAGATGGTCTTGCCTTTAATCAAGTTAGCAGTCATTTTTCTGTGGGTCCTGCATGTCCAGTTCATATAGAATAACATCAAGCAGTTCAGGAAAGAGGAGTTTCTTGCCCAAATGGCTAACAAACTTTATAAGGAGCCTCTTCGATATCCATGATCTTCTTGAAGTAGATTGGTGCTGCCAAGAGCAGATGTGTCTCATTGTCATGAAAAGTCCTGAGTTCTTAAAACATTTTAAATGCCATATTCTGTTGATCTTTGAAAGATTTGAAGAATAACTATCCATCTGAAATATATCCCTGTGCATCTAGAAAACTTAGCTAACATGGCTATAAGCTTGACTAGTATAGATGACTATCTATTAACCTGTATTTCCTAATTATACATTTCAATTTTAAATAAGCTGCACAAACACAATACAAACACAATGCAGAAATACATGTAACAAAATTGATCTTAAATTTGTATCAGTATACCAAGATCCATACCAATTCAAAATGTTCATCTCTATAGCATATCCCCCTTTAAATGTAAACAAACATTTATAAACAATCACTTTGGGAATTTAGGCATAGTTTTCTCCAAACTGTTTTGTTAGGCAAAGTAATTTTGGGGGTTCAAGGAGATCTTAGAGGAGGTCTTGGTTCATCAAAGCACATTAGCCTGGAAGAAATTTGCAGGTTCTTATCTTCTGTGGAAACAAAAGCAGAACCTCTTTTCCAATGCAGCACATCCTTAGACCCAAATTTTTAAGTTAAGATACCTTTAAAATATATATGTTGTTTCAGTTTAGCAGCCCATACAATGAAATGTCTCTTTGTTCTTAGCTCATTCACAGTCAAAAAAATTCAAAGAAAACACAATAATATACATAATCCAGATTCTCTGTGTATATTCTATCTTTAAGTGACTTATTTTTTCACTCTATTACTTTTCCTACAAATTTAATATTTATTTTATTATCTTTACCCCTTTAACCTATGACTCTCTGTATATCATAACTGCCAGTACTCTTTTTCTTCTTTCTGTCAAGCCAGTGTGCATTTATCTAACACTGTGACCCATTTAGAGGTCAATTCCATCTGGATCTGTCTTTATTGAATATCTGTAATCCTTTTCTGGCCAGGACTGCTTCTTAAAATGCTAAATGGCATGGTTAGGACTAAGGCTGCTTTCTTTGCCTTTCAACTCTGCCCAGTACAACATGTTGGAGGTCCATTCACTGCCTCTGAGACTTCTGGGTGGGAGCTGTCCTCACCACCTCAACTCTGGTAACCAGTTGACCATGCTTCCACCAAGTAATTTGAAGCATGCTGCCCACAAATCCCTTTCAAGTGCTTGACCTCCTACAAGAGCCAAAGTTTATGCTGCCCAAACCAGGAAGCTGCTGTTTCTTATGCTGTGTCAGTAAGTCTTTTCATAAAGGTGCTCCTGCCAGCAAACAGAGCCTATCTGAAAAAATGCAGGTACTAAGAAGCTGTGCTTAACTTTGTTCTTTTGTATTTAGAATTTCTTTTTAAGTTTTCTCAGTTTTTTTGTGGACGTAGTTGCCTCATGTTGGCGCTACTGGATCACCTAGATGATCCATTATTATTAATGTCTTGTACCCTTGTTCTTAAAATACTTAACCTTAAAATACATAAAGGTGACATCCATATCAGTATTAAAATAAGTATAGACGGTGTGTTATACACAAGTCAGCCAAAGATGCTTTTTTGTTTTATATTTCAGCAGGTAAAATATGTATTACTTGTTTTGTAGTTTTTCTAGGTTAATTTCTTTATGGCTGTAGCCAGTATTTCAGGGTGTCTTCCTTGATCAAACCTGATCATCTTTAACTTTGAAAAAATTTACAAAATCCACAAATCTCATTTCCTGTGAAAATAAAAGCATAACTTCTTCTCCAAAGTAATATATCTTTTGACTTACATTTTGAAGTCAAGACGTATTTTAATCCAGCAGTTTTCATAATTCGGTGTCTCTTAGCAGCTGTCATTCCTTCATTAGCAATCAGAAAATCTAAAGACAGCACAATAGCATACAGAATCCAGACTCTGTATTTTCTGTCTTTATGTGGCTTCTTTTTTTTATTCTGTTACTTTTGCAAGGATTTTATTATTTTAAAACTATATTTTTTAACCTAAGACTGTATATACTCTTTCTCTTCTTTCTCCCAAACCTACCAGATCTTTTATTTATTTTTAAACACACTGTGGCCCATTTTTGTTGTTGTTCTGAATCTGACTTTACTACTTATCTGTAATCTTTTTCTGAACCTGTGAGCCTTTATACTGGTAAGAGGCATGGCTAGGACCTCTGTTTTGGTTGCTAGCTCTGACCTGCTTGGTTCTCTGAGAGCTGAGCTTCATTACACAGGTACCAACAAAAGCCACATTTACTACCCCAACTCTTGGGAAATGTTGGGTTCCTTGTAGCCACAAAGTAGTGTTTCTCCCACTGCTCATAAACATTATTTAAGCATTTGGTAGCAGGTCTTCTTAAAATAGCCACCTGTTTTTTGTGGCTAGCAGTGAGCCAAGAAGCTGTCTCTTAAAAGAGCTGCACCTCTGCATGCTGCTAGCAAACAGCACCTACCTTGGTAACACCAAGAAACTGAGTTTGACTCCATTTTTGTGTTTTTAGATTCCTATTTGAAGCTTTTTCAGGTCTTAGGTGGAAATTCCTGCCCCATGTCAGAATGCCATTTGTTGGTGGAAGTTTCTGTCCCCCAAGCTGCTCCCAAGTAACTACTCGGAGCCTTAATATTAATTATAAATACTCAGGCTTGATACTAGCTAACTCTTACATTTAAATTAACCCATATTTCTTATCTATGCTTGCCCTGTGGCTTGGTACCTTTTCTCATTACAGCATGCCCATCTTGCTTCTCTCTCTCTCTCTCTCTCTCTCTCTCTCTCTCTCTCTCTCTCTCTCTCTCTCTCTCTCTCTCTCTGCATCTGCCTGCCCTTCTTCCTCCCAGCATTCTCACACCTAACCTTATCCTGTCCAGCTATTGGCCAGTCTGCTTCTTTATTAAACCAATCACTGAGGCATATACTCACACAGTGTAAAGCAATGTTTCACAACATGGCTTAGTTTTTAAAGTTTTAGGTTTTAGAGGTCCCTGAATCTAGAAATTAATATCATTTGAGTTTTTGTTTAGGCTTTTTGGTTATTGTATCAGATAAAATTTCTTTTAAAATGTCAATAAAATAAATCAGTGCACACAGTGGCAAAGGGTAAGTTTGTCTTTGACTGTGTTTATGTGTTTGGTGGTTCCTGACTGAGACACTTAAGGTACTTGATGTGTCTAGAGGAGTGATGGCGCCTGCTTCCCAGGATGTGATGTTTCCACATTTCTTTTGTCCTCACATAAGAAACTGGGACAAAAGCTTCTCATGCTATCAAGCCTCCTAATAAATGTGGCATATGACTCTTGTCACAATTCATCTCGTCTCTCTTCATCAATTTCTCCAGGAGGTGATTTCCTGTCCTTTCTGAGGAAGAGAAAGGATGAACTGAAGCTCAAGCAGCTAGTGAGGTTTTCCTTGGATGTCGCTGCTGGCATGTTGTATTTGGAGAGCAAAAACTGTATACACAGGTAAGGAGTTGTTAGAGAAAGTTTCACTGTTGTTACCACAACCCTGCAAAACTAACACATTTTTCTGTAATAATACAGTCGATTCCTTTCATAAAGTCTATGTGTTGCTTTTTACATTTTGTGTGAAAACCTTCCTTGACAGTTTTCCAGAAACACTTGATTCATCCCTTACTAGAGGTAAGTCCTTAATTAGAAAATGGTTTAACTTCATAGTTAGCATTTGCTTTATTGTAATTGTCAATAGCCTGACATGGCCTACCCTGAAGTCAGAAAGTGGTTTCATGTGTTGCTGTCATTTTCTAAAATCATGGACTAGCATAATTCTGTAAGAATAAGTCTTTCCTTCCTATTGCTGTTTTCTTGTTCTTATTTGTTTGAGACAGGGTCTCTGTAACCCCAGCTGTCCAGGACCTTGCTATGTAGACCAGGTTAGCCTCAAACTCGTAGAAAACAACCTGCTTCTGCCTCCTGAGTGCTGGAATTAAAGGGGTGAGCCACCACATCCGGCTATAACAATAATTCTTAGCTGTGAAGTTGGCCAAGGGTAAAATATTTATGATTATTCCAAAGGAAATTTTAGAAAACTTATCTCTGAATTTTGTGTAGTGGCCTGGTCCTCCCACTTTACTGATTATGGTTTTATTTTACTTTTTAAAGTTTTTTTTTTAATTTTATTTTACATGTAAGAAGAGGGTGTCCAGTCCCCTGGGGCTGAATTACAAGTGTTTATGAGCCACCATTTGTGCTGGGAACTCTATAAAAGCAGTAAAGCTCTTGACCCCTGAGCCACCTCTGCTGCCCCTAGATTTTGGTTTTAACTGTTTGTAGCCGAGAGTGACCTTTAATATGGAACGTAGCGCACCTTGAGAGCTGTTGAAGAATCTGTGCCATGTCTCAGATGTGGTTAAGCGGGCAGGAGGAAAATGATGTAGACAGCTGGTGTGTGCAGGTTTTAGCTGCAGGAAGCAGTGTGCCACACTGTGTAAGCTGGGGGTCGGCTGTCACACCTAGGTGCAGCAGCCATTACTTGCTGCTGGTTTCTTTATTGTGCTGCACGTATGACTAAAATCTCTCATGACACGAACTTTGACTTGGTCCTGTGTTACAAGTGTTGATTCCACATTGTGGGGAGGTTGTAAAACACAGAATTACACCAAACTCACCTCTGCAGCACTGTTTTAATATTGTTCAACAATTGCATTTACTCTTTAAAAATGTCAGGGAGGATGCTATTTTCCTAGTAACTAAGATGACTGTGACTAAGCCATACCTCTATACTTCTGCCTAACTTTCTGTAAATATGTACCAAGTCACATTGTAGAAATTTGTAAACCCTAACAAACATTTAAGTTTAGACAAGCAAGAGATAAATCAAGCTCTAAGTCTAAAATCATAAAAGGTCTTGCTCTTATAGTTTGAGAAAATTTGCAATTTTTTTCTGAGATTTTAAAGTATTTTATGTATCAAACATTTCTTCACATTCTCTACAGTAGCTGCTCTTAGGGTTTTCTCTATTAGGCATCTATGGCAGTAAGACTTAAGTAATATAAATTATTATATTATTTTAATAATTTGTGAACCATCTGTAATATGCTGTGTCCTTCTCCCACCACCAATCCTGGGGGTTAAACCTAAGCCTCCCATGTGCTAGACAAATGCTCTTTCCTTTAGTTAAATCCCAAACTACTTTCTACTGTTTATTTTGAAACAGGATCTGATTGTTTTCCAGGGTAGCCTTGAATGAAACATGTTATTCAAGCAGGCCATAAATTTATAATCTCTTAGCACTATAATGATCTTTAATTTTTGGTATGCTCCATTTAGGGGAACCATTGCTTTAATTTCATATTATTTGCAGTGATGACTTACCCTGAAAGAGGATGGCTTGTTAATCATCATATCAAAACCATTCTAGACTGAAGATGGCAATGGCATTTAATTTCGTTCATCTGTCTAAATCATATCATTATGTGATGTAATATTTTTCATTTTCCCTTTTAATATGCTTCATATTTTTGCATGTTTTTGAAAGCCATTCTCTGCATGACTAGTCGTAGCAGTGGTGTATGTTCGCTAGCTGATAAGATTTCACTCTCGAGCATCTTGAACAATGTCACTGAGAGCAGGAGTAATAAATAGGTTAAATCCAAACTTCAGTGATTCATATTGGCTCTCTGTGCTATGTATTAAGAAGAAATCCAGGATCTGCTACAAAGATTTGGTAATTGATTAGCCATGGATGGTAATCATTAACATAAAAGCCCCAATTTTGTCATTCTTAGCATTCAATAACCTTCTGTCTTTATTCTCATAAATGTATTTCTAATGCTTAGTCTTTGACATGATTTTCACTAGCCATAATATAGAAACAGTGTATTACTTTTCTGTGATCACAGCCATTGAATTCTTCTAATATCTCTCTTATTTCCCATGCTTATCATGAGAACTAGATGAATTTCATATCCACAGCAGATGGTTTTGGTTCCTTCTTAAACTTAGATGTATTCCTTTTTCTTTTCATTGTAATACAGCAATATATGGCATTGTATTGAGAGAATAAATCATTCTTTGTGTTGCGTTTTTAATAGTCATGAGTTTGTTCTTGTGTGCCAGGCTAAGGAGCTATTTCTCTAGGAGAAGTAGTAATTACAGTGGAATCAACTTTATATTTAAAAATGCAGTCAGTCCATATTATCAAAGATATACCCAAAATATGTTGTACTTAATTCAATAAAGGGTTTTTTACTTTTGTAACAATTTCTAATCGGGGTATTTTAAAAATTAATTTAAACAATATAAACCATGATGAAATTTTTTTCATTATTTAGATAATGAATTAATCCCTGAGCCTCATTTTTAACACTTAAAAATTGGTAAAAATAAATACATATTGAAGATTATAAAATCCAAGCAGCAATTTATAATATGCTTCAAATTGTTTTTGTTTTTTTTTTTTAATGGTGAAAAAGTGTATATTTAGAATTAGCCGGCTGGGCTCAGTTTAGATGATTCCGATCTTGTTAGCAACATCCAGAGCATCATGATCAGGAGCCAACCGAACATAGTCCTTCTTCTCTCCGTCGGGCCTTATGAGGGTGTTGACTTTGGCCACATCGATGTCGTAGAGTTTCTTCACAACCTGTTTGATCTGGTGCTTGTTGGCCTTGAAGTCCACAATGAACACAAGTGTGTGGTCTTCTATCTTCTTCATGGCTGACTTGGTGGTCGGGGGGAATTTGATGATGGCATAGTGGTCAAGCTTGTTCCTCCTGAGCGCGCTCTTCCAGGGGTATTTAGGCTGCCTTCATAACCGCAGGTTCTTGGGCCACCGAAAGGTGGGTGATGTACGGATCTTCTTTTTGTGGCTGTGGAAGCCTTTCAGCACTAGAAGAAGGAAGCTTCTGCCCCTCCCAAAGCCGAAGCTAAAGTGAAGGCCTTGAAAGCCAAGAAGCCAGTGCTGAAAGGCATCCACAGCCACAATATGCTTCAAATTGTATGACTTAACCTGTTCACTGATTCATTGACTAAGTTAGAACTCAGAACATGAATGTATTTCTAATTGTCTCTCTGCCAAATGTTTCTCTTTAACATTTGAGTGACACATTTTCTTCCTTCCCTTTTTCTTTCCCTCCTTCCTTCCCTCCCTCCCTACCTACCTCCTTCCTTTCCCCCCTTCCTTCCTTCCTTCCTTCCTTCCTTCCTTCCTTCCTTCCTTCCTTCCTTCCTTCCTTCCTTCCTTCCTTTTCTTTCTTTGTTACTATAAAAAAAATAATATTTCATGAGGGAAAAGTAAGTGTGTAAATCCAGTGGAGAAAGTAAGAGAACATTCAGACATGGCCTGCCTTTGGAATTTGTTTGCCTTGGTTTCCATGAACTTCTGCGACAGTTCTCTTGATAGTCTGTTTTTAGCTGTAGCAGTTTCTGCTCACAGATAGGGACTTGAACATGTTTGTTTGGGCCTGATTTTAATCAACTCAACTTTCTTTATAATAACTTCATAAGCCAGTGTGAAATTCTTTTCTGCTGTATCTGAACTACACTGAGGAACGGTGCTATCAGATCATTGTCCATGTCATGAAGGGTATTAGCCATGACTCGTCCAGAAGTGACGTCATTATCCATGTCATGAAGGGTATTAGCCAAAACTCGTCCAGAAGAGACGTCACTAAAGACATAATCGACATAAGCAGCAATGGACTGTCTGATTTTATTTCTGATGGATCTCACTGTAAGATTTTCTTTTGACTTATTCCTAAAATTTGGGTGAACATTGCCATTCTTGGATATTTATGAACATTTAGAAGGGATAAACCTCTATTGTTACATGCTTTAGTTCAAAATCATATCTACATACAGGTATGAGATCATTACTTCATTCCATTTCATCATCATCAGTAATAAAAAAGGTAATTAAAAAGTGATTGTAACTCTTTTTTCTTTCCTTTTTTTTTTTTTGGTTTTTTTGAGGCAAGGTTTTTGTTATGAAGCAACAGCTCTATAAATTAGTCTGACAGGCCATGCCTAGGGCTCCTGACGGGTTTCTCACACCCTTTGCCTCCAGTACAGTTGTCTTCCTACTCTGGGGACCTGAGATCTAAAATGCTCCAAATCAGGACAACTTTGAGCACCGTCATAGTGACACAGTGGGAAAATCCCACATTTGAAACTTTGTTTTATGTATTTATAAAATTGTTATCATGCAACATATATTAAGGTATATGTTAAATATAAAATATATTGCATTTAGATTTAGATCCTGTCCTCCAAGATACTCCATTATGTATACTCCATTCAAATGCTAAAATTATGAAATCTAAAATACCTTATCCAATTTTCAATAAGGAAGATGCAAAATGTACTTTACAGATGGAGGCACTTAACCTGGGCAGTGGTGCAACGGGACAGTTGTGGTCCCTAACTCCAGATGGTGTAACAACAAAATAATGACGCAAAGAGAAAATAACCTTGTGATGATATGAACAAGGTTCTTTGAAAGGGTT